TAATCATAAACGTGTTTTATGGATGTTACTTCATATGTAAAATTGACATCACTGCAAATTTATTTGTCGATTTGAATATCTCTATTAAAAATTATGAAATCAATGTTAACAAAGATCCATCCTTGGTTTACGAGTTACCATTCCATGCAGAAAAAGTAAACCATTCGTTTTATTTGGATGTTCTCCAGTTGAATCATAACTAAATGTCTTCTCTTTTTAAAACAATTAAGGAGATACATACTGTATAAGATGTCAGCACTTGTTGATGCTTCTGTAGTTTCTGGTTCTGTGTGAATAAAGAAACAACATTCACCTATAATCTGAGATCAGAGGAAAATTATACTTTAGGAAATATTAGGTTTTACTTACATTGATATGGTTGTTGAATTGTTGATGATAGTATGGTTTGAAATGCAGATTACAATTAATAAGAAATGGTAATTCTGATCTGTGATACTGATTAATAGATGAAAGGAAAAAATGGTAATCGTTTGGAAATTTTGTCAGTTATATATTAAATAAGCTTGATCTAATTTGCACCCTTACCATTTCCAAAGATTTTTATTCATAAGACATGTTTTTCAAACAATCTGAGAAATGTAATGAGTGTATGCACTTGCGCTACCTTAGACCTGCTCTGTTATAAAGTTTCCTCCGCCGCTCTAGTATCATGATATATTATGACCACAGTCCTACATGCAATTGCTATCCGAAGAACTAAAGCTCGTTGCAACCGATTAGCTGTTTAAACGCATATACAAAATTTTCATCAACAGACATGACTTCTTAATTCATTTTTTAAGAATTATTTTCTATTACTTATTTAGACCTAAATCAGAAAATTTCTGAAAGTTTACTTGGAGGACAACTGCAGAGTTCTATCCCTTGTTCAACGTGCTACTTACTGGGGTCTTTTGAGGGGTAGTTTGACAATTATTCAAAAAATTGCATACTGGTGGCTTGGTTAATATATATATATTTTTTTTTAAAAAAACAAGAATGTATAAATTTTTTGGAAATTTATTTACCTGAAAGATGTATGTTATATTGAATTTAAATACCCAATGATTTTATCAATCAGAAGATTTCAAATGTCTGTATTAAAATAGTTTACTATGACGGCAGGAAAAATGAAATACAATATGATATTTGATATACAGAAATTGCAAAGCACATCCACATGTTTCCCTGAATAAAAGAAGTTGAATGATATTGATAGAACATATTTATCAGAATAAAAAGATTTACATTTTTTAAAGTTTGCTTGTTCTGTAAAAAAAAAAATAGGCTATGTCTGAAAGTGTCTCTCACCTGGATATGTACAATAAGCACTAGTCTTATTACACACGCATCCCAGTTTCATATCACAGAATTCAAATGATGAACAGTTACATTCTTCACGACATAGTCTTCCATAGTAATTGTTTGGACAGGTAAAAGAACAGTTGAAACCCCAGTACCCTGGATCACATTCTGAAAATTCCATATTATGCATAACCATTTCTAAGATTTTTTCAACAAAGTTAAATTTTAGTGTATGTACTCGTTGCGAAAACTCCTAATGTTTCGTATTTCTGAATTTCATAATTTTTATTTAAATTTTATTTAATAACCTTTTAGCCATCATGGATTCAAAGTTGCTGGAATATTAGCAGACAAAATCGTTGTGCAAAGTACATATACATACCGATACACATATTTCCAATGGCTTGAAAGTTATTGCAGCATTGCCGAACATCTCTAGAATATGAATTCCATTATTTCATTAAATAAATATAGTTACTAGTTATTTAAATATTATATTTCAAAGCTGCAGTAGTGATTATGATGCACTTACCCATGTTTGCAAATATTATCTCCCGTTAAATTTTGACTAGATACCATTAAATTATTCAGGAAACACAATAAAATGTTCATCTTTTTCAAATTAAATCACGGAAACAACGAAAACGAACGAAAGAACGAAAAAAACATGCTCATGTAGAACAGATATTTGTAGGAGAATGGTTTCCTTTGATTTCACAGGTCCATGCTACAGGCTGCACAATCTGATTTGTTGATTTTGACTTTTAGAACGATGTACAATGAATCAACTCATTTTCGGAAATGTCTGTATATCCTTCTGACGTATACTTTCATTATTCAACATTTTCCCCTCTACATCAGATTACATTTCAGCAACGAATTTGTTTTAAAACCAGGAAATTTTACATGTATCAACTTGCATCAATTATAAAGGGGGAAAGGAAGAAACTAAAATTTAAAACAAGTACACTCTCTGTTTTATAATTTAAAATGTCAGACATAATTTTTATAGAGTTAATAATCTAAAATTGATTAAATCTCATTGATTCAATCAAATTTCTGATTCATTTCCTACATATCTTTCGATTATTCCATTTTCAAATGGTTATAGAAATAAGAGAATAGAGACCATAAGGGAAACTTATACTGTTTCTGACAACCATATCCTTTGGTTCCTTGGATACCTAAAGTCAGCCAATGGGTGTTCCTTATTGACCTCTGCCATTCTTTTGTCAGAATAGAGAAATGACAGGTTCTTTTTATGAATACAGTTGATGTTCTTAAGGACGGAATGGTATGAGGTTTCTAGTGGAACCATTCTGTATTTGTCTGTCGTGTACTGCCGCTTTTTCATCAATATAGCGGTTTATACGGTATGGACTTTTGACAATTTCTATAGTTCATGTCATTGATCATTTAAGTGCTTTGTATAAACTTTCATTCTTCACATCCTTCTATTATTATTTACAACATCTGGCACAGTAGGATATATGAACATCAAGATTCTCATAAAAAGTTAGGTGAGCTAGCGTTGTGGCCCTCAAAACACAGAAGCAGATATCTGATCCATTGGTTTAAGTTGCTGAATCGATTAATTATCAATAGGAAGGTACAATGGTGCACTGAGTGTTGCGTTGGGGGAGGGGGGTGTCTCAATTCAGAATGGTTAATCTAGAGTGGGCTTCAAATCGGTACTGGTATAATTCATTAAGTATGTCTTAAGCATGCTGTAGTTTACTGTAATTTCAAAGATGAAAAACAAGAAATCAGTAGAATTAATGAGCACCTAATTTCATAGTACTGCTTTGTAGAAATTGCATCTTCTCTGTTCTTTCCGGAAAACATACCCGAAGTTGTTTTTCCGAGCTTGCCAGACGAATTCAGGAAGGTAGTGAAGAAAAGCTAGGTATTCAGGATAACTTTAGAAATAACTGATCTCTACAATCTCTACAGTCATGGTATTATAAGACCTATGTTACTGCTACTTTTTGTACATTTACAGGTTAGAAAGCAAAACACGAAACTTCAGATATTTTTTTTTTCAGATGATAAAACAAACTTTACATGGTACAGTTTAACTATAGTAGTATTCACTGAATGCTGTACCCTGAAGTCGAGCATGCGTATTCCAGTAAAACACGGACCTCTGGAAATTCCAGAGGTGGAATCAAAACGACGACCTAACAAATGGTATGAAATACAATTATATCAGACAAAATACGATCCAATAGTAGATTGCATCTGCTAACAAGTTCATCATGTCGACCATAAAATTTACGAAATGGTGACTTTAAATGAGGTAATTAAATAGCTGTAACATCAACTTATCTTTCAGTAGCCTGCGTCGGTTTAAAAATTAATTGTACTCAGAGCATGCGCTTGCATATTGAAATAGTTGAAAGACATAAACACCATATGCACGTGATGGCTGAATATTACTACAGAGAGAAGAAAACTTTTCAATTGCAAAGTTGAAGTCATCTCGTTTGTCATACAATTTAGTTTTTAGTTGACCCTAATTGTCTATAGCCAGTAAAACATCAAAATATGAAAAAGATGTGACAGAATCTGTGGTGTCGTTTATTTCGTGTTCACTGGGATATATCAAGTCGACATGTTAAATGGACTAACGATTGTTAATTGATTAAACATCATCGATATATCTGAAGGTCGAGTTGACGGCCACAGTAAGTGTTTTTCCTCTTCTCATATATAAGTTTTTGAGTAAATTCTGCTTCATAGGATTATAAGAACAGGTCAGCTTATGAAGGAGCACAATTAGTTCCCATCTAAATTCCAACAGTTCACTGGAAGATCTGGGCTGGGATTCATAAACATACTTAAGATATGTGCTAAGTTTCACACTTAAGTATAAAATAAATTCCTAGCTAAGAAAAAATTCTTAAGTCATATTCATAAAAATTCTAAGTGCAATTCATAGCTAAGTTTAATTCTGAGAAAATTAGAGCACTTAAGTTAGGTCACCCTAGCAACGCATACTATTTCCCGAACAAAAGCGCACTCTTTTGTTATGGAGGTATTTAGTTCCATGTGTATTGCATCACAACTGATACAACTTTGTCATCAACATTGCACAATACTGCATCTTACCAGTTGCTAAACATCTCAAAGTCAAAACAAGTTTCTAGTTGGATGTAATAGCATGGTTTCTTACTGAAAGAGTAAAATGTCTTCTGTAAAGCATTATTTTTATTTTGATAAAAAACTTAAGTATTTCTTATCTACTTAAGACACCTCCTGAGGACACTTAACTTTAAGTCAATACTTTAGCACTAAATGTGAATTACACTTAAGTATTTCTACCAAATTTAAGTAATACTTAGGGGACTTAAGTATAAAAAATAAAACTTAAGTGATTTTTTAAACTTAAAATTATACTAAGAAGTTTTATGAATCCCAGCCCAGGGTTCGTATGCATAAAAATTCTTGTTCTGCTAAGCATATTCTTAAGTGTCGATTTACGCTAAGTAGAGTGACGTTTTTTACTTAGCACGTCACTTAGCGTTGTAAGTGGATTGCATGATGCGTCTTATTCTTACTTATATGTCTTAGAATATGCTTAAAGTTAAACAACACCCCACCTTGTTTTTAAGCATTTTGCTTACCATAGCAAAATGGCTGCCGGACAGCAAAGACAACGCCGCGTTTTTAAGCAGAGATTGGACCCCTTTACAGAATATAATTGTGTAGGGCTTATCACACGCTGTCGTTTTGACAGACAAGGGATTGAACATATCGGGACGCTGATTGACGATTTCGTTTCACCAGCAACAAGTCGAAATTGTAGCATACCAACTAATTTACAAGTCATGATAGGTCTTCGCTATTTCGCAACAGGAAAAATGCAGTTTTGTAACGGGGATGACTTCGGAATTCACCAATCAACTGTGTCCAGAATTGTACAGAGGATTTCTACAGCCTTAACTCGACCGCATATCATACGAAGGTACATAAAATTTCCAACTGACGCTCAGACAATTCACCGGCATCAAACAGACTTTCACGCAATTGCCAGTTTTCCAGGAGTGCTTGGCGCTATCGACGGGACCCATGTTAGGATACTGCGTCCTACAGTTAATGAGGAAGAATTCGTAAATCGCAAAAACTACCATAGTATTAATGTGCAAATTGTCGTCGATGCACATTGCCATATACTGGACATAGTCGCCAAGTGGCTTGGATCAACACATGACGCAAGAATTTTGCGAGAAAGTGACATAAGCCAATTATTTCAAACACCCGGAATAATTCCTGTTAAATGTCACCTACTCGGCGACAGTGGCTATCCTTGTAAGAACTGGTCACTGACTCCATTCCTTAACCCTGCAACCCAACAGGAAAGAAGATACAATGGGTAAGTATGCGTTTATTTAATCATACATGTATACTGTAAACTTGTTTCATTCTATGTTTTTTTTTTAATTTCACGGTTTTCTATGTCGGCACATTTCAGGTTGATTTATAAATTTCACGGTCGTTGATTTTCTCATTTATTACAAGCGATTTAAGAATTATTCTTGAAAGAAAAAGTAATCAATACCATGTGAAATTATTTATTACAAATGTGTCCAGAAACTGTAACTTTAAGTCATTATTATCAACACAGGTTTCCTATCAATCATTACCTACTATAATATTCTATTACTATTTTACTATGATAGAAAACATGCGTCGGATTGGGGGGGGGGGGTGATCTGTATTCTCTTATTAATCGTTTAATTTTATCAAAGTTGTTAAGTCGTGTTAAAAACCCGAGACCATAAGAAAACCTTTTTTCGGAAACCCATGGTAAATCTTGTATATGTCCACTAAGTAAGCGCGTATGCAATATTGAGTGGTTCTGACGATGAGGAAAGGTATACGATACTGATATATGTTCAATTCTAATTTACGCTGATAACCTGAAATTGTTTCCTACGGCCCTGACAATATTGAATTTTACTTTTTACTCAGGAATAAATTAATTCAACAAAATTAATTAACTAAAAAGTAAACTGAAAAGTGAAAACACTATTTTCGTAGAAAATCATTGATTTAAAAATTCGATATGCATTTTCCAGTTAGAACCTCCCCCCCCCCCCCCCATTATTTTCCTTATTTCATGCTTCATTAATCCATTATTTATTTTTCATTCGTAGTTCACACAAGGTGACAAGATGCATTGTGGAGAGAACCATAGGGCAATGGAAAAGACGTTTTCACGTACTACATTCTGAGATAAGGATGTGTCCAGAGAGGGCTTGTAGGATTATAATGGCTTGCGCCGTACTTCATAATTTAGCAAAATTGCTCAACACGCCAATCATTGATGAGGATGGAGAAAGTGAGGATGATTTTGATGAGAACAGTGATGATGATGATGATAACAACCGTGTCCCTGACAATTTGGATGGTAGAGCATACAGAAACCATATCACAATGAATCATTTCTAGAGTTAACACTTATTTATTATAATATTTCCATTATCGAATCTAAATTACTGTATTTTCAGTAAACATTAAAATGAATTTTTTTTACAAGTCTTTTTTATTGAAATCTTTCAATTGCTGTCTCAGAAGGGCATTCGGAGGTTTTCAATTTCAAGTTGAAGTTTCTCTCTTGCTAAGTTGCATGTAACTGTAGTGGTTTCTCTTGGAGAAGTTGGCGGCATTTGGAAGCCCGAGGTACCCAGTGACACGTCTTCTTGGATAATAGTTTGACTCGTGTATGTTGGGAGTTGTGGATCAAGCTGGAAATCCTCCACCACTCGACTGTTTAAAAATATTTTCTTTTTTTTTTTTAAGAATTCAATAAGACTGTTTAAAAATATTTATTTTTTTCTAAGAATTCAATAAGACCTCCAAATGATCGCTTTCCCATTTAAAAAAATCAGTTATGGACAGGCGATATCGAGATAAAACAGTTATATAGTTGATTGGCTCTTAAAAAAAACCTTACCCTCGCAGAGAACCAGGTGGGATGTCTTCCATACCACTGTTGAAAGTGTTAAACGTCATTATGAATTATGAATTTATTATGAATTAAATTATGAATTTTTCTGTAAACGGAAAAAAAAATGTTTCAATAAAAAAGACTTGTAAAAAAAAAATTCATGTTAATGTTTACTGAAAATACAGTAATTTAGATTCGATAATGGAAATATTATAATAAATAAGTGTTAACTCTAGAAATGATTCATTGTGATATGGTTTCTGTATGCTCTACCATCCAAATTGTCAGGGACATGGTTGTTATCATCATCATCATCACTGTTCTCATCAAAATCATCCTCACTTTCTCCATCCTCATCAATGATTGGCGTGTTGAGCAATTTTGCTAAATTATGAAGTACGGCGCAAGCCATTATAATCCTACAAGCCCTCTCTGGACACATCCTTATCTCAGAATGTAGTACGTGAAAACGTCTTTTCCATTGCCCTATGGTTCTCTCCACAATGCATCTTGTCACCTTGTGTGAACTATGAATGAAAAATAAATAATGGATAAATGAAGCATGAAATAAGGAAAATAATTGGGGGGGGGGGGGGGGTTCTAACTGGAAAATGTATATCGAATTTTTAAATCAATGATTTTCTACGAAAATAGTGTTTTCACTTTTCAGTTTACTTTTTACGTTTCGCCATTAAAAACCCTACCAAACTGACAAAAAAAAAGAAACTGGCTTATAGCCAAATTCAGAAATCCTATTACTTTTTTTTTGGGGGGGGGGGGGGGGTCATTCTCATTTTTAGCAAAAAAGAGAGAGAGGGAGGGAGAATAATAACGTGATATGTTTAGATATTGCTGCAACAAAATAAAAAAAGGGGTACCGGCGTTTGAATGAAAATTTTCAGAAAATTTAAAACACAAGATTATTCTAAAATAATTGGAGAAGGACCTTTTACCGGTACTCCGGACCTACAGAAAATTGGGAAAAAAAAGAGCACGGCGATAATAATTCGACGCTCCCGACTTCATTTGTATATATGTAGTGTGTAAAATGACGTTTTTCGTACCTGTGACAAAATGGCTACATTTATATTGATGCTTGCATTTATTTCATGTAGATGATTACAGTAAAAATTATGTTATTATCTAATACAGTACGAAATGTTCTTTCAAGCTACAGTAATGATTGGTATATATATGACATTAATTAATGTATATTTGATATGTAACTGAGACATCTAAGTAATAGTACAGCGACTCGTACGTGTACAACAGAATGGCTACACTTAACAAAGCCTTACTATTATTTACGTATTAGCAGAAATATGACATGTATCAACATAACTAATCTAAGAAACATATGTACTTAAGGATTATTCATCAAAATTTATCTTTGTTTGGCATTTATGTCTAGTACACATCGCCATGTGGGCTAATGTCAACTTAAGGAAACGATTCTTTTTCTGTTGGACATTTTACTTACGCACTGTAGATTCAGCCCAAACTCATGAAATTGAGAAAATGATGTTAAAAATTCCACAATATCACAAAGAATGCATACAAATTATTTATTTCCTAAATTTCATTTAATTTAGAGGATTGGAAGTGGGTCTTTTTATATATTGTAGTTGCGCGTACAGTAAAATATGTAACGTTAGACACGGGAATTTCGCCGTAATAACCAATAATGAATAGAGCCCTATCATAACTAAAATATTTTTAGATTATTAAAAAGAAATTTTTTAGGATAATTTATTACCTTGGATAAAATAATTATTTTCATTTTCAATTTCTAGTAACTTTAACATCTTGAAAACGCCATTTTCTTTACGACATCTAAATAGTCAGATTTTATAGTACCAACACCGTGCACAACGTTTTAGTAATATCCCGCTTTCACTTGCATTTGGTGTTTACACCTCCCAACTTATCCCATACTCAAGAGCATGCTCTGAGTATGACCAATTTTAAAGCGAAGGAGGCCACTGACAAATAAGTTGATGTTACAGGTATTTCAACAACCTCGTTTAAAGTCAGCATTTCGTAAATTCTAAATTCGTTTTAATGACCTTGTTAGCAAATGGAACCTATCACTGGTTTGAGTTTTAGCTAACATGTTTCATACCAAATGTTAGGCCTTTGTTTTATACGGATTTTGTCTAAAAAAAGTTTATAGATTTCTTAAAGATCGACCACCGATCGCTATCTTTACCTTTCTCATGGTTTAATATCGAGCTGTATTGAAAAATTGTTGAATCCCTGTATAAGAATCCTAAAGCACAGGTCTATAAAAACATCAGATAAATGTATTTGAAGTCCGTTATATATCACATGTATATGGTATTGAACATCTGTCTTTAAAAAATGGACATCATCATCATATGTATGTATTTAATTTCATATCTTTCAGTAATAACTCTGTATGTCTATTCATAAATGACAACAATACCTTGAATACTTACCTGAGAAATTCTGTAAATTTTCTATAACATGCTCATTGTTAAAAAAAATCTTTTTAGTGAAATTTGAAAGAAAAAATCAATTGCAAGGAAACAAAGTGGAAATTATGTAATGTGTATAATTATGCATGATAAGATTATATAACATCAAAATCAAACTTTTTTTTTCAGAAACACCTACAAAGTCTACAAATAAGATGTCACAAACTTCTCAAACACCTGCATTTACGTTAAATACACGGGAAAAAAATTCTGATTCTGTTTTTTTAAACTGGCAAAACAACTTTTTATTATTACCAACATTTAATCAAATTTTCTAATTGATTTTACAACGCAATGGTGCGAAATCGGCGGTTGACGTATATTAATATCCGATTTTCCTTCAGTAGCTAACCGCACTTGTTAAATTTTTGAAAAATCCTTGTTGATTTTACTTTTACAACTTCTCTGCTGAAAGTAAACGAAACTACTGTACAAAATGAAACCTGCAAATTCAGAATACACTCAAAATCATTTTCACGCATGGGTGAACAAAGCAGTCCAAGAAAGCAGTCCCTGGGACTGCTGGATTTGATTTCTAGAGCCGTCCCGCAGCAGTCCCAGGGCAGTCCCAGAGCGATCCTAGAGCAGTCCCACAGCAGTCACAGAGCAGTCCCACGGCAGTCCCAAAGCAGTCCCGGGGACCGCTTTCTGGGACAGCTTGGGTGTCAGGTTGAGTCTGGTTGGTACTGTAAAAGTAATAGTTTATACACGATAACGACACAGCTCGGGCAATGCCCAACATGTGATTGATTGGCATAAATATATTCAAATAGAAAGATGGAGAAATAGTCATATTTCGTGAACGAAATACCTTGATTGTGTACTTTTTCTATTGTATTTTACATACTTATGATATAAATGATAACAAAAATATACATAGTATGAATTTGATTTACATTATAATTGCATGGCAATTAATTATTATTAGCATTAATTTTATCAGTTATGGATTTCCAAATTTCTCTCTTCTTTTGAGTAGTCACTCCGGTGCCGAATTTAGCCCTCAAAATTTTCTTATTATCATTGAATAAGCGCGTGAGATGTAAACATTCTTCCATTGTCCAGTTCGGTTTGCGTTTTTTTATCTGCCATATTCAGACGATGATGATGTCTTTGAGTGACGTAAAACGGGAGATCCAGTATCGTCAAAACCCGCTATGATGTCACACTATTGTGACGTTATATTTTAAGCAAGAAGTAATATGCTTAGCTAAGATTCACTAAGTAAGGCACTTAGAATTTTTATGCATCAAACTTTAAGTAAGTTTCTTAGTTAAGCATTTTGATTTGGGGATAAGCATAGTACTTAAGAAAAATGCTTAGATGTTTTATGCATACGAACCAGGTCTCCAAAGGCTATAAAGATGTTGTCAATGAGGAACTTCAGTATCTTTAACTATCAACTTTAGAGTATTTGTATATAAATCAGGGTATCAGAGTGATTTATATATATTACGTATAACGTATGGCACATTGATCCAAGTTAAGAGTATGGGAAAGCATCACTTACATTTTGCACACAATTTCCTGAATTGAGTTGTAGTTCGGATATCCTATCCATAGGTTAATTACACATAATTAAATTCCTGCAATTATTTACCGTAATTAATGAGACAAAGGGGGAAACTCAGAAAAAGAAATCCAGCATTTGCCATGCAATTATAATATAAATCAAATTCATACTATGTATGTGAAAATATATTTTTGTAATCATTTATATCATAAGTATGTAAAATACAATAGAAAAAGTACACAATCAAGGTATTTCGTTCACGAAATATGACTATTTCTCCATCTTTCTATTTGAATATATTTATGCCAATCAATCACATGTTGGGCATTGCCCGAGCTGTGCCGTTATCGTGTATAAACTATTACTTTTACAGTACCAACCAGACTCAACCTGACACCCAAGCTGTCCCAGAAAGCGGTCCCCGGGACTGCTTTGGGACTGCCGTGGGACTGCTCTGTGACTGCTGTGGGACTGCTCTAGGATCGCTCTGGGACTGCCCTGGGACTGCTGCGGGACGGCTCTAGAAATCAAATCCAGCAGTCCCAGGGACTGCTTTCTTGGACTGCTTTGTTCACCC